TAGAAATATGACCTCGTGGAGACCGGCGTCACTGCGTGGTACAACGTTTCCGATCGTATCACCCCATTCTAACTAAACCCATACAGGTGGCTCCTCAGGCATCGGTCTCGCCATCGTCAAGCTCCTGCTTTCGCTAGGCGCCGGCGTCGTGAGCGGCGACGTCCGGGATCCCCCCTCCGAGCTCCGGCCCGAGGACGCAAGCAGCAGCAGCAGCAACAACAACAGAAATGGTGAGCGGTTCACCTTCGTGCGGACCGACGTGCGCAAGTGGGCCGACCTGCTGGCATTATTTAACAGAGCCAAGGAGGTCTACGGCGGCGTCGACCACGTCGTAGCCAACGCTGGGCTGGGCGCGCAAGCCAACTACCTGTCCATCGAGGTCGACGAGACCGGCGAGCTACGCGAGCCATCGCACACCGTGGTCGACGTCAACCTGCGCGGCGCCATGAACACCGCCATCCTGGGGGTGCACCACTTGCGCCAGCAACCCGACGGTGGCAGTGTGGTGATCATGGGATCGAGTACTGGCTTCCAGCGCCTGCGAAACATTGATTACGGTAAGAGCAAAGATTTAATTCGCCAGTATCCCCTAATTTCGTCCCACTCTTTCGCACTCTCTGCCTCTCCGCTTCACTCTGTCTCTTTTCGTAGACACAGGGAGACAAAGCTCAAAGAATGCAAACCCCTCCAAGACGAAAACACTTTGCAAGAGAGCCGGTGCAACACTAACAACCAAATTCCAAAATACCGCCAGCCACATCCAAGCACGGCATCCTCGGTTTCGGCCGCGGCCTCGCCGCCGCACTGAGCGCCTCGTCATCCTCGTCCTCCTCCTCGTCGTCGTCGTCATCCAAGCCACCCGTGCGCGCCAACCTGCTGGCCCCGAGCTGGACGGACAGCGAGATCTTCCCGGGCCTGGCAGCGACCCTAGCCCGCATCGGCGTGGCGGTGCAGCCGGCGTCGGCGGTGGCCCGGGCCGCGGCGCTGGTCATGGCGGACGGCTCGCGCCACGGACAGGTGCTGTACCTGGCGCGGGGCACGTGCCGCGAGGTCGACGAGGCGGTGCTGCTGCCGGCGTTCCGGCGGGATATCAACGGCGAGGAGTACCCGGATGAGGAGGAGGTCGTGAGGCGGTGGGCCTTGCTAGAGGCTGAGGAGGAAGCAGAGGAGCAGCAGCCGTGAAGAACGGGACTGTATGAGAAAGCTTGGGTGGGTTCCTGCTAGGTTGTTGAGCACTCTGGTGAGGTGGTAGCACCCTCGAGGAAGCCAGTTTTCGATAGAGGTATCGTCAATTCGTATAATACAACGTTAGATATATATCCCGGTTCTATCCCTTTGATAGCAGTTGCGCCTATACCCAAGTCTATGCATACACAAATTACAAAAAGCACCCGTACACACGCATACACGCAAAAGTGTATGGTCTATAACAGCTCCTTATTCTCTTCCTCGTCTCCATCCCTGGCTGCAGCCTTGGCGGCCCGCCTCCTCCTGCGGCGCAGCAAGTAGGTGCCGCCAAGGATGACAACGACGCCGAGGACCATGAACTTCCAGTAGTTGAAGGCCTTGATGATGAGGGGGAAGTCCCACGACAGCCAGGTGCCGCCGACAGTCTGGGTGAAGAAGATCCAACGGTCGGAGCCCGGGCGATCGTCCATCATGATTCGGTAGAGCGGGGCCCACTTGTTCCCGGTTTGCTCGTAGCCGCGTACTGTGCCATCGGGGCGCAGACGCGAGTGGTACCGGTCCCACATGGCTGTGAGGTACCACTGACCGCTCTGGAACTGCACGACGACGTAGGGCAGGAACCAGTTCCAATTCCACGGGATGAGGTTGTCCGTCATCATGAGCCAGAAGGGGTGGCCGGGCAGGGCGCCGAGGACGTTGTTGCTCAGGGCGCCGCGGCCGGGCTCCGTAGTCCAGGCTGGATAGTAGATCAGGGGGTCCATGTTCTCCGTGCAGGGCTGAAGAGATTACCTAATCAGTATGGAGAGCATCATCAAGGCTGCGGCTAGGCCTCATTTTTATGATGTGTTGCACTTACGTTGTCCATGTCAATGTAGATACCACCATAGTGACGCAGAAGAAAGTAGCGTAGCGTGTCGATGCGCTGGACGGGGAACTTGTACCCGTCGTACGTCGACAAAAACCAAGGATACTCCTTCTCGATGAACTCACGGGATTCCTTCTCATACCAGAGCTGAAAATGCAATCAAAGGTTAATAATTGCTGACTGAAAGAAGAGCCGGCAGATATCAAAAGTCAAGACAAACAAAAGTATCGCCATGCCGGCCGGACATCCGACAAGTGGGAACGAAAGAAAAAAAAAAAGTGAGGGAAGGAGAGTAAAATACCTTGAACTCCCAGCCGGGATTCATCTGCATGCATGGAATCCTGGTTTCATTCCAGACGGTGGGTATCGTGTTGTTACCCGGGTCGTGCCAGTTGTGGAAGATCTGGTGCAGGATCTTGGGGATGGCGGGCTTGTGCTGCTCATAGTTGGATTGGTTGGCAGCCAGCACGGCCTCCTGGGTGATGGTCAGGCCAGTGTGGTCCCGGAAGACGCCCAGCAGGTTGGCAAAGGCGACCAGCCGCGTCAGGAGGTAGATGACCACCAGCGCGATGGCGATGCGCGGCAGGGCCACGAGGATGCGGCGCCGCTGGAGAAAGGCGAGAGGCAGCATCTCGAAACGGTCTGCCTGTGCGTCTGCTCGCGATTGATGCAATGCAGGGACAGCCGTGTGGTGTCGTCTGTCGTCGCGAGGGTGCAGTCGCGCTTCCCGTTTTCTTTTCTTCTTCTGGTACTATGTAGTGGTCGTCGTCCTCAAATCAATCCCGTGCTCGGATCATCGGAGAAAGGGATGAGAAATGAGAAACCGTGGAACCCTTACGAAGCGCGACTTGGAAAATGGAGCTCGGCAGAGCTAACTTAGGCCAAGACTAAGGCCAAGATAAAGGGGGCGCCAAAACCCAAAATTCGCCCTGAAATTTTCACTAGCAGGATGGTAGGAGGGCAGAGCAGAGAGAGAATGCCGGACTGGGCTGGAGATGATCAGCCACTAAGTTTGCAACGAACCTTGACTGGGGGGCTCATTTCACGTTGGTTGTGGGAAGCAAGATCGATTTCCAGCTTCAAACCTAAGTTAACTAGTTAATTATTACTGCGTGTCTGGAGTGGGTAGCTACATAATGTATGGTATCCCATGACAAACCCTGTCTCGCCCGGGCTGCGGTGTGGCCACCAGCCCAAGACATCCTCCCCATTGTGCGTACTTTCATCGCCTTTCCTTCCTCGTTCCAAGCAAAGCCAAGCCCCCCCCAGTCGTCCAATTTGCGTATGTGCACCGTATGACGACTCTAAAAAAAAGAACCCGCCTGCATTGTGTGGGGCGGTGATCTGCTGGCTGCCAATTGCTGGGTGACGCGGCGGTGGATCGATTCTGCCCAGGGTCTAGTGCTGATTTGTTTGCCAAACGCTAACTTTAGCCCAGACGTTGAGGTGGTGTGCGCGCGTTGTTGTCTCACTGATAATAAGCCACCATCACCAGTCTGGCAGGGTGAAACCAACAGATATTGTTGCCAGAAAGCTCCATTGATGCTTTTACGTGTCGCTTCCCGTCCCATGAGGCCAAGACTTCCAGCTGCCTGGCTCGTATCTCAGTGGGAATGGGGAGGATTCGATCTCACAACAATAGAGCATGCGCGCATCGACAGATTTTATCTTATCTTATGCGTCATGGGAAAGCCTGCATCATGAACCAAATGCCCAATCTCGAGCGAATGCCACCCACCGCTTCCCTCGTCCGGTGGTTCCGGTGCCCCCAAGTTATTCTGTTCTATTGCCCCAATAACCAATAAGGCGACCCGTCAGGGCAGCCCCCCCACATTTGGAATACCTTTCCAAGGTTGCGTGTCTGGGGGGGAATCTAGAGCACTGCCGGCCCTCGCCCAGCGCCCAGCGCCTCACCCGCTGCAACCTGTCAAAACGAGGAGAAACGGGACGGATCATAACGTTAAGTCAATTCTCCTCTGCATGGCGATGGGAGGGGTCAACAACGTGGAGCTCTTGCCGGGCTTTTTGCCATTGTCGAGTTGACCTTTTACAGACCATCGCTGCACCAGAAATTCGCCATCAGCCCGACGATACCAGGGATGCGTCTCCCTGGGAGATTGCCAATGTCCTGTCCGGTGTCAGCGTGAGATTGCTGGCTAGACCCGTCTCTAGGGCAGGCGGCCTTGTCGGGCGCAGGAAACACCGTCAATCCGCGCTCCCGGCGCCAATGCCACAAATACAGCCTTCGTGTTCCAGCTGCTTGACATTGCATAAAACACGCCCATACCTCGTCCAAACGGTAAATGATGTCAGAGGGCGACATGCCCTTCGCACCTCAGATAAATCAGTCGTGGGCAAAAACCGACACGCTGGTTCTGTCGACAGGGTTACATTGCATTGCCGCCGTATAAATGCTTCGTATTTAGCTCTTTCGAGCGTGCTGGACAATTCTGCAGCATTTCGGCAGAGTTTGCGCCGACGGTACCCCTGACACGCTATTCAGCCCGTGCATCGTTCCCGATCTTGGAAAGAATAGGTGAGCCACCCAAACTATCCGATATAGATAGGATGGTTCTATAGTATTGAGCCCATCCAGATTATGTATATTCCATTTAGCACTGTTCATCTCCCGCCTGAGTATAATTGCATTGGCTTAGGTTGCACGCAAAGCTGCCACATCTCACTGCTACTTGTTTATCTAAGTGTTCGATCCGGTCGAGGGTTTGGCTGTGGAGCCCTGCATAATTACCAGCTCCAGTGGGTAAACCCACCCCAACAGGGCCCACACATCATTGAATACCATCCTAAACAAAACAAAAAAACGAAACTGGCAAAGCTCCTTCCCTTCGAAGCCAGGTAGTGAGAAGTGAGGTCCAAGTATGGTAATAAGCTGGTCAAATGCCACGAACAATGGATAGCCAATCAGAATTCGAGTTGGCTTAACAATGGGGATGTGGTCTAGTGGTATGACGTTTCCTTCGCATTGTTTCGATGCATGGTAAAGGTTCTGGGTTCGATTCCCAGCTTCTCCAGATGGTTCCTAATGACTTCTGTTATCTGGAATCGTTTCTTTTTGATTATGATTATTTCTCTTCAAATCTTTTTTTATACCCCCTGGATGCTCCTCAGTCCTTTGTGTTTCTGCTTCCCAGAAGATTTGCGTGCTTGGGGCTAGAGCTGTGTGTTATGCATGTTGTAGGCCATTTTGCTCACCTGGACTCACTAATAGATGCCACTGGTGGATGCAGTGTGAAAGTCATGGGCAGACCAACCTCAACTCAGGAAGCGAAGACCATCCGATGTAGCATAGTCCAGGCTGAGAACTCGGGCTGCATATAAAAGGAAATGGTGAAAATCAAGTATATCGAAGAGGGGTAACAGGTCGTACCAACTGATACCTCCGATTGCTTCTCAAATCACAGCCTCGTTTTATGGCCCTCAGGCTCTCTCTTCTTCTTCCGTTAGTATTTCCGCGAGAGACATGTGTACAACTCTGAGTGACGACAATTATACAGAGACAGAGAACTGTACCTACTCACAGCAACCTCTCTCGTGGCCCAGTTACCTCAGGCAAAAAAACTATAAATGGATGTTCTTGATGGCAACGGATTGGTACGTGGAGCCACGAACTTGGCATGTGTCTTGAGGGGCCTGTGGCAATACATCCCTTCAAGGCAGCTCTAACTTGGGTAATAGCGCAGAGATTCTTCCGCCGAACGGATGCTCGCACTTGACGCTGCGCAGCCCTTCTCACTGCAGGCTGACAGGCTTGAACGACTCGACAACAGAGTGACGACCATTAAGGACTTTGAGAATGGCCGCGGCGACTTGCAACTGATCGTGACGTTACCTGCGCCGGCGAATGCAACGGTGCCACCCGAGCAAGATAATGATACCACAATCCCTTAGTGATGCGGAGCCAGTGGCGGCTTGCCTTGCTGCATTTGTCGTATCTTCGCAAGCGCTCGTGCGAGCATCTACCTTCTGGGAGAGGTCACTGGCAGGGCCATGGGCCGCGGCGCAGGCCGACCATCTCAAGATCCTCGACTACACAGAAGACGATGCTGCTTCTCTGGAGATCTTGATGATCATCGCCCTTCTGCGCTCCACGCTCGTCCCTACAGCCTTGGATCTGGATGGGATGGTCAAGGTGGCCGCCACGGCGAATAAACTTTTCGCCAACGGCATGACCGGGCCATGGCTGCCCCGTTGGGCCTCTATCTTCGATACAGCTGTGAAACAGGGTAGCAAGAGTAGATTGCTCTCGGTTGCATGGCAATACGGCTTCAAATCCAAGTTTGACACCCTTTTCAAGAGCGTCTGCATGAACCATACCGTGAGGAAGGATGCCATCAATGACGATGAGCCCTCTCACTGGCCAGCCGCTCTGGAGGGTATGTGTTTGTGCTAATTCCACGTTTCCGCACCTCCGCCGTATTTATCCTTAACGTGGCTAGGAAACGCTGACAGTGGAGGCCATCGAACAGAACATATTGAGTTGTACCGCGAAGAGATCAATTGTAGAATGCTCGATTACGTGTACAGCTATTTTGACCAACTTTGTCACAATGAAGGAGGGCACCCGGATGAGGGGGAAGTTCGGCCGTTTGAAATTTTATTGAAATATCTTGACAGTAGCACGTTTAGCGTGGACTCACTCTCTCTGAACCATCATCAAATTACGAAATGCTGCCTACCTCAAATTGGTTACATGTTTCTCGCTCTACACCGTCACAGTCTCTGGCCAATAAAAAATGCCACTGAGCTCGACATGAGCCCCACAGCATTGAAAGCCGCCCTTTTAAGTATGCTCCCTCTGGACTGTAACGACTTCGCAAAAGTAAGAAAAAAAGGGAAGAGAATGAACGACACCCACAAATGTTTAAATTTCGAGGTGGTACAGCTCAAAGTCATTGATGAACCGCTTCCGTACAGTAGGGCGGAAGAACTCGTGGCGTGGCTGGATTAGCAACACAAGCCTTGGGTCGGCGCGGGCGAGTGAGTCTGGAAGGGTCGCATGGGTATCAGTCTGGGAGCGATAGCAAACTTTGAACACCTAAAACAACAAAGTTACATATGCTCCTGTGTGTGTGTTGTTTCAAACGCAGCTTTCGACACAGGAAGGCTTGCGCCAAAAATGAAAGCCATCAAAATCGGAAAAAGAAAGAGACGATCAAGTCAGATTGCACTAGCCGCGAATCGAACGCGGGGCCCATCGATGGCAACGATGGATTTTACCACTAAACCACTAGTGCGAATGTTCTTATTGGTTGAGAGGAACTCGACTTATTTCATCCCTTACTGGCTCATTGATTTTGTGAATTTTTAAGTGAAATCCCAATGCCTGGGGTTGCCATCCTGAACACCACATAACAACCCTCTAATGTTGGTTCTGCTTGGTTCGCAAAACTTCACATCACCATCCTTATCCTTAGCCACATTAGTCAAACATTAGCACAACTAAATCATTTTGTAGTTTAGTGCACCTCCCGCTTACATATTCGCTGCTTTTACTTCTTGAGCACTTCTGACCACAAATACTTGTTCGGTTCTCTACTGCAATCGAATGGCATGTCGCGTGCTAAGATATGTGTTACGGTATCATCCCATTTCGTGTTCTTGACCTCTAGCAAGCTCATCTGAAGAAAATAGCTTATGCAAACGAAGGAAGGCTAGTGCTAGAGCTGATAACAGCCCTCAGCAAGCCAAGATAATTCACCAATAAGTCCTCATCCGCGTGGAGATCTTGCTGCACCCAGATGGACTGGATCCCCGTCCTAATCACCCTTATGCTCCCCACACGCTTATCCCTGTCGGTGCGGTCGATCAGCTCGAGGACGGTGGCCCGCCGCTCGTCCGTGCGAGCCTCGCAGGCCAGGATGAACAGCGGGAAGAAGTGATGGCAGGTGTGCCTCTGGATGGGCACGGCGTACGCCTGGCTTATCAGGGCCTCCAGCTTTGGGGACGGCTCCCTCGGGCCCTGGGAGGCCCGCAACAGGTAGATCTGCGTCGCGATCTGGTACAGCTCCGTCGCCATCGCGGCCTCGGGCGCCTCCTTGTACTTGTCTTGGGTTGGCCTGACCACAACTCGGTCGATCCTTCTCTCCAGCTCCCTCAGGTGGTTGTGGTACTGTTCATCGCGGCTTCTAGGGTCCCATGGATCGATCAGTGTATCGCAAGTCTCACTGAGTAGATTTAGTATCGCATGCCCAGGATGTGGAGAAGCCAGCGCCTGCAAAACTCGTGTTAGCTTATAAGAAAGTAAAAAAAAGAACAAAAAGAAATAAAATTTGTTAATATGGATGACGGGCGGACAGACTGGTCTATAAGTCATCAATGACGCGTGACCGAGGATGTGCGGGTCAGGTCTTCTTATGAATGTAGCATTTAGTGTTGACTGCTTTGGATGCCAGTGGTGCATGGAAAATTGTGCGAGCGTATTATGATAATAGACCCAACCTAGGAGGTGGAAGATTTCTTTTTCGTCTGGTTGATCCCCGAGGTGAGTGGTTTGGACGAGATGCATGGCCCCCTGGATATAACACAACCACTCGCCTGAACTATCCGCCGCTAGCAGGGTCTATATGAAAGAGTGTAAGCATAACTGCTCACTAATCTCCTCAGTAAACCGTATGGAACCCACCTCAAAAGCGCTGAGAAGCATCGATGCAGCCACGTGTCGAGCCGCTCCAGCCGGACTTAGCGGTCCCTCCTTCGCAGATGCAAATAGGGATTGAAGCGCCAGGATTTTTAGCTTCATTGCCTGCTGCTGAAGCCCGCTGCGTCTGGCAGAGGAGAAGGCAAGCAGTGCATAGAAGAGCGCCCGTCCTGCGGTTGTATCGTGCCCCAGGACCATACGCATGAGTGCGTCGCGGATCTGAGAAGGGCTAACATCAAACGTGACCAATGAAAGGTAAGCAGAGGTTTGAACTAATGGAAATGTCTATCATTAGCTGGCCGCACTCTACACTATTAACCCCAATGACGCAGTTTCGATCTTACAATAGCGGACAAGGTCCATGTGGTTCACTATTAGTTGATCCTGTCCCCATAGCTCTGGAGAGGACTGGCCTGGATAGAGAGATTGCTCCTTCAGGGATAGGTCGCGATATATCTTCATGTCACGCCACGTCGTGTTGATGAAGAAGAGGCGGGCCCCTCGACGTGAACGCATTACCGCGGGAGGTGAGGTACGGGTTATTGCACGCTTCTGGTCACCATCCCTGGGCCACGAAAGGCGCAAGCCATACCCTTGGCATTCTCGTTGGGCTCGAGCACAGTTCTGGCAAGTAGGCAGAGCCCCATCACACTTGACTCTACGAGCTGCGGAGAAGCAAGTACGGTTAGTCTGCGGGAGTCTACGTTTGAGTTGTGCTGGCACGGCCACAAACCTGCACACGTCCAACAGCTTTTTCGGGGTTTCATCGCGGTAACGGGCTGGATAACGTATTTTTTTTTTTTTTAATTGGGAATTCGATGCGATAGAAGTGCCGTCCAGCGTTAATTTGCCCCTGGATGTAGCTGATCAGGCTCGGTGCCGTTAGTAGGGACCGCCAACACCAAGAAACGCTTCTTACACGGCGGACAATGGATAGGGGCAGGCAGTCCGGGGCGGGGTGGGGCGTTTTTAGGATCTGCAGCGGACCCACCGCAAGCAACTTTTCTCGAGACGATTTGTCATCTGCGTTCTCTCTTGTCTCTTTCCCGGCCGCGCCCCCGCGTGAGCACTAGCACTATTTCGGGGAACGCGGATCCAGGTATCAAGATCAAGGTAGCCCCCAAGCCGAATAATGGATGGGAAGCTTAGAATCTAATTCGCTACTCCCTCCATAACTATGTACATTTTGAGCTTGAGAAAGGTAAGTCCGGATGATGGGGCAATTATGTAAAACTGTGCCCTATGCAATGCAATGTTCCCTAACTTAGTTACACATCCATGCTGTGCTATTGGACTAGCTATGGAGATCCACCAGCAGCAAGTATTTTCGAGGTGACCAGTTCTACCGGCCTTTTTCGTACTCTGCTTGTTCCA